CACCACACACCCGCCCCACCACACACCCGCCCCACCACACACCCGCCCCACCACAGACCCGCCCCACCACACACCCGCCTCACCAGAGACTCGCCTCACCACAGACCTGCCCCACCACAGACCCACCTCACTAAGACACCACAGACCCACCCCACCACACACCTGCCTCACCACAGACCCGCCCCACTACAGACCTGCCTCACCACAGACCCGCCCCACTACAGACCCGCCTCACCACAGACCCGCCCCACCATAGACCCGCCTCACTAAGACACCACAGACCCGCCTCACCACAGACCCGCCTCACCACAGACCCGCCCCACTAAGATCCGCCTCACCACAGACCCGCCTCACCACAGACCCGCCCCACTAAGATCCGCCTCACCACAGACCTGCCTCACCACAGACCCGCCCCACTAAGACCTGCCCCACTAAGAGCCGTCTTACTAAGGATCCGCCTCACTATGGACCTCCGCCCACTAAGACCTGCCCCATTACGGACCTGCCTCACCACGGACCCGCCCCACTATGGACCCCCCCCCACTGAGACCCGCCTCACTAGGGACCTGCCTCACCACGGACCCGCCTCACTAAGACCTGCCCCACTATGGATGGACCCGCCTCACTAAGACCCGCCTCACTAAGACCCGCCTCACTATGGATGGACCTGTCTCACTACAGACCCGTGGGCCCAAGTGGAACAGGCCGGTCCGGGCCCCACCTGAGGCTGCCAGGGCTGAGGAGATGCGGATGTTGGTTCCAGGTGCCTTGGGAGCTGGCCTCAGGTTCCACCCTGGCCCTCTCGCCAGACCCCATGTGACACAGCCTCCAGCCTTCTGTCCCCTGGGGGGGGCCCTTCAGCTCTGGTATTCAGTCAGAAATCCTAACACATCTTACTTTCTTTTGTTTATTTATATTCTTTAGTTTTGTGCACACTTTGAGGAGTTGATTTAGAACAGGTTCAAACTGAAAAAAGCCTCAGCTGATGTTATCTCTGGGGGCTGGGGAGGGTGTCAGGGACATTTGGTGGCTGAGAGCGCGTCACTGCTACTAAATGACTCCGTTTAACACCAGCCGTGTCTCCGTGTCTCAGGCACTTCTGTGAAATGTTCTCAGAACCCTATGGTGACCGTGGCACACCCAGCAGGCCCGGCCAGCAGCCACCGCCCACTGCCAGGGCCCAGCCACCCCGGCTGTTGCCATTCTTTCATAGGGTTTCCTTCATTTTACTACTTGTCATTTTTCTAGAAAACATCTGTTTTTATAAAACAAAGGAGGAGGAATCAAGTATTTTAACCACAAAGTATATATACTGGCTTTAGGCGTCCATCACTTCATTGACAAACTGAATGCTGAGAAAGCTGAAGGCAAGGAGGCTTTTGCGGATGTGGACCTTGAGCTGTGTGTTCAGGAGACGCACAGGCCTCAGGGAAGCTCACGCCAGACGCCAGCCACTGGGACCATGGCCTTGGCCCAAGAGTGGCATTTGTGGGAAAAAGAAAACTTCAAGAAAAACACCGCTCCTACTTCTCTTCCTTCTGGAAGGACGCAGAGGCATCCAGAGTAAGTAACTGCTCTGTGTCCACCAGAGTCACGTCTCTCTGGGAGGGCTGGGCCGCCTACGCCAGCACCTGCTGCACCCCTATGTGGTCTGGCGAGCAGTGCCGGTCCCCACAGGGCAGCTTCTTCATCAGCCGCCGGAGCTTGCCGGGGAAGCTCTGGTTCATGTAGCGGTAGAGAAGCGGTGTCACGAAGCTGCTGGAGAAAGCTAGGAGTTTAGACAAATCCTTCGCAAAGTGCAGCAGCCCCACGTAGTGCGCGTCCACGGGCTGCCCTCGCGAGATGAGCACTGTGTGCCCCAGCAGGACCAGATAGTGTGGCGTCCAGAGCCCAAACTGCGTGCACACGGTGGCCACCAGCAGCCTGTGTGCCGAGGGCTCCAGCCGGCCTGTGTCCCGGTCCAGGGGTGTGTCCTCCCTGCGGACGCGGGAGAGTAGCACCAGCGCATAGAGGGCAGCCAGTGCAGGCACCACATAACCGATGAACACCAGCGTGGCGTCGGCGGCTTCTGCGTTCTGCATCTTGGCGCACTCCAGCGCGCGGGTGGACACATGGCTGCAAATGTAGAAGAGCAGCGAGGAAAAGCTGGTCAGCAGCGCACCGCCCCACACAAAGCCGCACACGTGCCGCGTGTTGTACACGCTGGCCATGTAGGTCCGCGGCAGTGCACGCTCTATGTAATGGTCGAGGCTCAGCAGGGCAGTGGAGTACATGGCCACCAGTGAGGACACATTGAAGGGGATCTGCAGTGCCACGTGGACCTCACCGCCTGCGCTCCACAGTGCCCACTGGGAGCTCGGGGGGCCGAGTAGGTGCACAGGGGCCAGGGTGCTGAGCACCAGGCCCGCCACTGCCATGTTGACAAAGTACACATCTGGCATGGTCATGCTGGCCTTGCTGTGTAGGTTGGCCAGCACCAGCAGGGCATTGTAGCACAGGCCCACTGGCACGCCTACCACCAGGCCCAGCAGCGACAGCAGTGACAGCCCCAGCTGCAGGTCCTGGCAGGCAGGCAGCTCCTCCACCAGCCCTGTGCCGTTGAACCAGCCGCAGCCCCACATGGCAGCCGGTGAGGCTCCGCGACCCTGCAGAAAGAAGGAACAGGTGGTCAGCTCGTGTCCCCTCCCAGGACCCTGGCTCAGAAGTGCTGCAGGTACAGGGGCGCCTTCTCGTGGCGCAGGAATAGCTGGAGACCACAGAGTGAGACTGCCTCAGGTGCATTTCTGTGAAAATGAAGTTGAGCATTGAAAAATGGCCGCATCAGGTCCTGACCGGGGGCTGATGTGGCTGCACTCATTTCAGCAGCTGGGGCTGGGTACCAGAGAGGGAGCCTGGCATGCCCCACATGCTCAGTCAGAGCCCACTGTTTGTGGGCTGCTGCAAGGCCTGGCTGGTCATCCTGACTTGGTTGGACGGGCCCCGCGCTATGATTCCTGAAGTTTACTAGGTGCCTGTGGTGTTCGGATCCTGCCAGTGCCAGGAGGGACAGGCAATGTGGACGGTCAGCCCTGTGCCTCCCTCCCTCCCGGCAGCCCAGGACCCGGCACCTTGGAGTCCTTGCAGAGCCTGGGCTCCAGGGAGGGTGACCTGTGGGTCACAGCCCACAGGAGGCTCTGGGGACATGGGGATATAGCCGGTCTTGACGTCACTGAACGAGAACCTAGCGGCTGGAGCCATCCTAGAGTAAGAGTTCTGCCCCCACCAAAGCACAGGCATTCCTCGGGGACCTGCAGCTATCTCGGGAAGCCTGATGTCCAGCATGTCATTTGGTCCTGGCTGACCTCCTGCTCTCAGAGTGGATTAGAAAAGCATCTCAGGCAGACGAGCAGACGGCATCATTCCTGTGCCCGGAGGCGGGAGCAGTGCAGAGGCTGGCTGCGGGAGCGGGTCCTCACCTGCCACCGGAGTCCTGCCACTGCAAGACCCACACCACACACGGGGCCATAGCAGGGTAGGAAGAGGAGGCTCGGGAGGAGGAGAGTGCAGAGGGGCCAGGGCCCGAGGCCCCCAGTGCCAGTAGCAGCGTGTGCCCCACAGCAGGCAACGTGGCCCTGGGGCTAAGCATGCAGGCAGCTGGCAGATGGGCGGGTGGGTGGATGTGGGAATTCCCATCCAGAGGCTGGCGGGCAGGACGGGAGGTGTAGGTCATTGTGCAATCCTGGTGAATGCCACCCAGCAGCCGCAGTGAGGGTCAGGTGGTGACAGGCATGCAGAGCTAGGCCATCGCCGGGTGTGCCCAGCCACAGTGCTGCCGCAGCACCCCCAGGTCCTGGCCCCCCAGCCCCTGCTTCTCACATGCTCACCTTGTCCAGCCCCTCGCTAATACATCTTGACTAGAACCTCCTGGGCCAGGCAGGCGGCAATCTGGGGGATGTTGGTAGTTGGGGGTGGGCTCTGGGCTCCACTCGCCGGGCCAGCACAAGCTCCAGACAGGATACACCTGCTCCAAGCACAGCAGCGGGGGCCATTGAGGGGGGAGGCGTCCGGGCTTCTGCGGGCTTCTCCCCTCCTGCTGCACCAGGGTCCAGAGGACGGGGTTCTTCGGGATTGTGGTCCCCCACACCCCAGCTCCTGCCTGCGAGGCTGCATGGCTTTGGCTGTCACAGAGTGGCAGTCCATTTTGAGGACGTCACTGCCCAGACTCCACTTGAGTCCCCAGGAAACACCGGCCACTGCGACTGAGTGTCAGTCAACAGCCTGGCCTGGCCTCATGGGGCGCCCAGGGCCCCCAGATCTATCCAGGGTCTGTGGTTAGAACATCGGAGCGGGATGGCTGTCTCGCTGTGTGCCCTGTGTGCTGCCTCCAGCCACTGACAGGAGGGCACCCCTGGCCAGCCGCCTTTGCCTCACAGAGCTTGCCAAGGGCCGGGACCCCTCAGTGTGCTCCGTCTTGGCACCCCTTCATTCCCTAGAGATGCCGGCTGGTGGCACTGTACAGAGCCCCCCGCGTCCCCTCTCCCACCTGCGCTACACAGAGCCCCCCGCGTCCCCTCTCCTGCCTGCACTGTACAGAGTCTCCCACGTCCCCTCACCCACCTGCACCCTCTCTGCGCTGCACAGAGCCCCCCATGTCCCCTCTTCTGCCTGCGGGCACCACAGGCTCTCACCTTTACTTTGTGGCCCGAGCCTCTTGGTACTGTGGGCCCCGGACACTGTCGGTGAGCAGCATGGCGGGACAGAGGTGGCCACCAGAACTCCAGTGAGGTCCTGCGCTGCTGCGCTTCTCTGCAAACCCGCAGGCTCTTATCAGCAGCACGCCTGGCCTCCTGCGCGTGCGTGTGAGGGCCCCAGGATGCAAGCACTTGTTTTCCTCTGGTAAGTTCCCCGCAGGGCCTCTGCCTCCCTTGGCAGGCGCCGCCGCCCCTCCCTCCTGCTGTTTACAGCCGGGTTCCAGAAATGAGGGGCCGTGCTTGGACGGGACCGCACTGCAAAGCGAGCATAGCTGGCCTCTTGCCCCACCTTTCTGATAGCCTGGCTCCTGGGGATGTGGCCTCTCCCTGCAGGCCCCTGTCTGCATTGCTGCAGGGCGTCCTACCAAGAGCCCAGGGGCAGGTCAGGCAGACACGTGTCCAGGTCCATGCAGCCGTTCCTGGTGTTCAGTGTGCTTTAAATGTTGGTTATGAGCCCTTTTTTCTGTGAAGAAATCAATAGAAGGGTCTACTGTCGAGCGAAGGCCTGGCCGTGCTCACTCAGCCCATAAGACACAGGAGCCCTTGGAGGCACAGCAGAGGCCGAGGGCAGGCTTGGGTCGGAAGCAGAGAGGGGAGCACGTGCATCTGGTGTCTCCGTGCACAGAAGGGACACGGGCATGGCCAGAGAAAAGCTGAGCCGGCACCACACACACAGCCTCCTGCAAGGGCTGCTCTGCTGGGCTCTCCTGCAGGTGGAACTGTGCGGGGCCAGCCTGTTGCCCACCGCACCCCTCCTTGCGGGGAGTCAGAGAGAAGCTGCCTGGACTGCTAATGCCTGCCCCGCCATGAGGCTGAGCCAGAGGGAGGCGGCCAGCGTCTGTGAGGCTAAGAATGGCTTGATTCTTGGGAGGTGGTCACGTGAAGCAGGATCTGCTGGCATTTCCTCCCTGTGCTCACGTGCGTCCCACTCGCCGTGTCTGAGCTGGCCCTCGAGTGCGTGCTGTCACACCAGCCGGGACCTGGGAACGCTGGCCTCCAGGTGGGGTTCGGGTGGAAAGTTCTCCTGTGTGCATTTTTGTTTACTGGTAGCTGACAAATACTGAAGGATTTATAAGCTTCCAAAGCTGCAGGTTGTTCTCTGTGCAGTTCACCAGGTATCAATGATGAGGATGGTTTCTATTTCTAGTGAAGGTTACAAGCCAAATGGTACCTGTTTTCCTTCACTCTCCATCGGTTGGAAGGTGATGCGCTTTGCATGTTTTCCCAACATTCTCCCCGGAGTCCTCCTTTTACCAGGCATTACCTGGAGATCTTGGGAGGGAAGGTGGCTGGGGGCGGGTTGCTCTGTGGGCTCTGGGGGACATTCTAAAGCCAAGGAGGTCAGGTTTCCAGCTGTGTCAGGAGCTGGGCTGAGAGGCATGGAAGGAAAGTAGGTCAGCAGAGTGTGAGGAAACCCTCTTCTCGGCCACACCTGAGTGGACAAGCCTCCATGGCCCACCTCCTCTCTGGCGGGGCTCATGGTAGGAACAGGGGTCCCTGGGAGTGCCCTCCAGGAGCTGGTTTGAGAGTATCCTGCCTGCGGGCTGTTAGCTGTGGCTCCCAGAGGAGTGAGCATGAGGTGTATGGTTTTTTTGTTTGTTTGTTTTTGAGACAGAGTCTTGCTCTGTTGTCCAGGCTGGAGTACAGTGGTGCAATCTCGGCTCACTGCAACTTCCGCCTCCCAGGTTCAATCAATTCTCCTGCTTCAGCCTCCCGAGTAGCTGGGATTATAGGCACCCACCACCACGCCCAACTAATTTTATATTTTTAGTAGAGACAAGGTTTCTCCATGTTGGCCAGGCTGGTCTCAAACTCCCATCCTCAGGTGATCTGCCCGCCTCGGCCTCCCAAAGTGCTGGGATCACAGATGTGAGCCACCATGCCCAGCAAGGTGTACATTTTGCAGGCTGGGAGCCACAGGTGGCGCCCACAGGACCACAGCGTGCCAGGACCTGGCGAGTCATGTGAGCCAGTGTTCCCGCATCTCCTGGTCACAGAAGACTCATGACGCGTGCCCGACCCTCACAGCCAGCCCAGCTCCCTGTCACTGAGCTGTTCCAGGCACATTAGCCAGGGTCCTTTCCTGCCCAAGGCTCTGGGCGCTGCCGTAGACACCCCTCCCCTGCCATCGCCGCACCTGCGTCCAAGTGAGGGTGATGGCCCGGGCCCCACGTGCCTGCCTGGCCGCAGAGGGGTTCTGTGGGAGCCTGGACTGGCCCAGGTGGGTGGAGCCTTCGACTCTTTGCCTGTCTGTGGTCCCCGGCTTGCCTGTGTGCCCCCTGCTTGCCTCTGTGCCCAGAGACTTCCTGTTCCAGGCTGCCAGGCTGTTTGGGGAAGCGGGGCATCCTGGAACTGGAGAACAATGGCCTGGCCTCTCCCCCCGCCAGGCAGGTCCGCTGTGGCGTCTTTCCCGTCAGCCATGCGCTCTGCTGACTTCCTTCAAGGGAAAGAGGAACGGGGAGCCAGGTGGTGGGAGACTTAGAGGCTTGGGGAGAGCCCAGATGAGCCTTGTCAGAAGTGGGCTCTTTTCCGACACGAAAGCCTGAGTTTGTTGCAGTGGCAATGAAAGATTCCAGAGGCTCCCTCCTCAGAAGGCAGGGGAGACAACAGAGAAGGGTTGCCTGCCCCCCAGCCCCGTGCTGCAGGCCCCTCCAGGGCCAGGCTTAAGGAGCAGAGCTGGCACGTGCCCTCCAGTCACCCATTTTGCTCTGAGCGCTGCCTGCCCAGCGGCGGGGTTGATATTCAGCCTCCGGGGCCCACCACTGCACCCTCAGCCAGCAGGGACCCTGTGGGCCTCTCCTCCAGGCCAGCCCCACCTTTGCACTGAGAGACCACCGGCTTCTTTCCCAGCTCCTGGCCACCCTCCCAGGCCAGGCCGTCCCTGGCAACTGCTCCTTCCTGGCTCCCCTACCCCCTCCGCCAGACCCTGCTCCTCCAGCACCTCCAAAGTCACACTGCTGGTTTCACTTCCTACGTCCCACTGTTACCACCAGCATCTCCCCCTGACACCCTCCCCCATGACTCAGTACCTGCCACCCACACGCAGGTCCCTCCCCAGGCCCATGTCGGTACCAGCACAAACAGCCCCAAGGCCTCCCCCAGGGAGGCACCCAGGACTGGGCCCTTCTCAGGTGAATTTCCCCAGCCGAGCTGGACGCTGCAGGTCAGCCTCACCTCTCAGGAGGGCATGCCTCGATGCAGGCGCTTGCTGAGAGGCTTCTCACCCACTCAGCCTGGAGCAGGCCTCAGGGTCTCTTAGGGACAGTGACAGCATCTCGGGCCAGGAGGGGAGGGGCCGCAGGCAGCATCTTGGCTGGGAAGGTGGAAGGAGCTGGCCCTGCCTGGGCCTCAGCTGTCCAAGATGGCCCAGTTTCAATCGTTTTATTTTCTCTATAAGAGAATTGATTAATGACACAAATGGGATTCATCTACCCCCTCCTTCTCTTTCTATTTTTTTGTTTGGATCCAGGATCTCCCTCAGTCACCCAGGCTGGAGGGCAGTGGTACAGTCATAGCTCACTGCACCCTCTGCCTCCTTGGCTCAAGCGATCCTCCCATCTCAGCCTCCCAAGTACCTGGGACTACAGGCATGTGTCACTACAGCTGGCTAATGTTTTCATTTAACATTTTTTGAGACAGGATCTCACTATGTTGCCCAGACTGGTCTCAAACTCCTGGGTTCAAGTGACCCTCCTGCCTCAGTCTCCCAATGTGCTGCGATTACAGGTGTGAGCCCCTGTGCCTGACCTGTTTTTGTTTTTTAAATTACTCTCATAAAAAGGGCCAGCCTTGCACCTACCACCCCTCCTTCCCAATCCAGTGGTGGCTGACATGCGGGAGATATCTGACCAGTCTCGTTTGGATGGGGTGAGAGGTCTTTACAGCTTCAAGGCCAGGCCCAGGCCATGGGCTAGCAGTGGACAGGAGAGGAAGGCTTAGAAGGCCCAGTGAAAGTCGGAGGGTATCAGAGCCCAGGGCTGTCCTCAGAGTGTACAGCCAGCCGGGGAGACATGAGCAAATGTGCTCCCCATGCTGTGCGGGAAACTGCTGCACCCCTCACGAGCTCAGAACCTCAGCCTGCCCGGCTCAGGGTCTCCCAGCACCTGCTTAAGCAGAAGGGGGGCAGAGCTGGATGCCAGGTACACCCCAGAGGGCTGAGGCAGAAGTGACATTTCCACACAGGAATCCTGAGCGGACCGAGGTCGGGACCCAGTGTTGATGGGAGGCTGGCACCCCGTGTTCTGGGGGCAGCAGCTTCTCTGAGCGACAGGAAGGGGCCTGGGCCTCTGCCCACACGCTGCTGGTGGGGCCTGGGAGCTATATGAAGCCTCAGGGAAGTCCGGGTGTGCTGGTGCCCTCTGCGGCGCAGGGGTGGCCTCTGGGCCCCGTGAGCAGCCATCTGTGGGGCCGCGTACTCTCACCGAGGCCTCTGCTGGCCTGCAGGGTGACCTCCGCCAATCTGCCCATCCCCTTCTCTGACGGCACAGCTGCCATCTCCAGTGGGCTAGGGTGAGGCCCAACTAAGCAAGAGGCTGGGAAGGATAGGGGTGGAGTTTCTCCGAGACCCCCTGAACGTCAAGCCTTCTGGGTTCCTGGTCCCGCCGAGTGCCTGTGGATGTAGCTGTTTCCGGAGTGCCCCTCCTTGGGTCCGGCTATACCTCTGTGTCATCTCCTGAGCGGTGCTCACTCCTAACGCGTGCTTGTGAGGATAGAAGGTGGGGCCTTTTCTTCCAGGACCCCGTGCTGGGCTCCAACTGCGATTTCCTGGGAAGATGCTTCCTAGGCTGCGGTGTTCCAAGCCCAGGAAGGCTGCTGGGCCTCACTTCCTTGCAGGCTGTCCCGTGTCCATCCACCTGCACGGGATGCAGGGACGCTGCTTGCAGAGCATCGCTTAGAGCTGGGAGTCCCAGGCTCAGGGCTTGGAGAAGCTGGGGCAGCTTGAGAAAGGAAAACCAAGAAGTGTCAGACCCCTAAGCCACAGGGACCGATGGGACAGGACCCTTGGTTGGCTTGGGCAGCCCGTCCGGGCAGCTGTCCCTGTTGACTTGGAAGTCCATGGACGCGCCCGCCGCAGGTGGATGGCTCCCTGCTCTGCTCTGAGCCTGAGCAAATGCCCTGGGGATCTGTTCTGTTCCTGATCTAAA